CTAATTATATATACATGTTTGCAAGTACGCAAAATAATAAAAGGTAATAGAAAAAAAAAGATGGTGAGGTTTTGGCAAGCCGAAGTTCCCCAGAATAGGTTACATAGAGAATAGCTTCAAATGTGGGTTGAACTAGCTGTGACGTCTCGGGGATAGGGAGGATTGCTTTTATACCCCAGGGGTCAGAGATTACTAAGATAGCAAAACTTTAACGAGATAGGGTGTCCAAAGTTTGAATCAGGGGCCGGGATATTGCATCACAGTGACGCAGTTGTTTTTTAACCTATTTCTAACAAAAAGCCATAAATCGTTATTTGATAGCGTATTGTCTGAATGCACTCACATGTCAGACGTTACTCTATGAGATCCTGCACATCGGCAGTGAGTTTCGGAAGCCGCCCAAATGGTCGTTTTTTCATTTCCTCGCACTGGTGATCCTTTTCTTATTAAAAAAAAAAGTCCCTGATATGGTCGGTGTTAGTGTTGATATGAAATTAAAAATTACAGGTACAAGAAAGCGACGTCATTGACGTTTGGAAGGAAGCGGTTGAGGGCAATTCGAAATTTGCCGAAGTTCACAGGATCGAGATAATCAATTACGAATTAACCGATCAAGGCTATGATGTTAATTGTAAAACGTGGAAAAACTTCTATGTACATAATTGGCGCGATAATAAATAATTTTTTTTTTTGAAGCATAATCTTCGACGAACATGTGAATAACAATGTGCTGTAATTAAATGATGTAGAATATCAAGCGGACAATTAAATGATGTAGAATATCAAGTGGACAATTAAATGATGCAGAATATCAAGGTTGTGAACTAAATTTCAACTACTGTGGGCTCCCAGATATGCACGGTGCTCACGTAAGAGTGCGTGAAAGTTTTTTTGGCTGTAAAATTGCTAGTTTCGAAACCAAAGAAGCTGGAAAGCTGAAATTTCAACGGGGAAAACCCTGTTCAAGTACAACTTAAAGATTTCAAATTCAGTTCTCAGGTATGCTAATTCACTCCCCACTGAGGTATGCAAATTTAAATTCAGTTCCCACGTTTTGGCGGGGAAGATTGCTCCCCAAACAGCTTGGTCAGGAACGACCGCTAAACGGAAATTGCTGATTTTCCTCCATGCAAAATTTACGATGATTTACACTAGCGAGTAG